GCCTCGAAAAAGCCAGGCGCCTCGTGTTGTTGTTGATCTGGTCTGCCGAAACTGAGTCGCGGGTTGATCCCTCGAAACTCCAACCCGATCAATGCATGGACACTTCTCACGTGTCAAAAGGAAGGACAATACGAGTTAGTTCTCTTTTGTGCATTTTGATGACGTCTCGAGGGTTTTCCTTTTTTTCTTGATTGGTTGATATGTGGACTAACGGCCGCTCCTCGATCGGGCGCCAGCCTCCCGTACTTCCCTCGCCAACGCGCCCCTTCCCTTACAACGAGGAAAGGACACGTGTATGCGAGTGGGACGTGCGAGAAGTTGTCGCACGGATCGGCGGACAATATTACTTCCCTCCCGAAAATCGTTGTTCTGGATTCGTGGACGCGGGTTTTGTCATTATCGATACGCATTTCCCGCCTTACTCATTGCTGTTTCCATTTAACGAGTTGATCGTCATTCCGTGGACGGCAGTGGCGCCCCATTGGCCTCGAACCCTGTGCACTGAGTGTCAGCGTTTCGATCGCTACGAGTCGAAAGGCTTCCACTACCGGATACAGAGTGAAGACGAGCACAAGGAAAGAGCCACGCGGCTGAGACCATCCACGTCGGACTCGGAACTGACCAACGAGCGACGTAGGGACTTGATACGAAAACGGGACACGAGGAGTGTACCGAAACCCTTCCCCTCAAAACGAAGATCCGTAGTACGGTGGGAAGCTCGACAATACTTTTTGGATTGAATTTGGATTTTTATCTTTTCGCGCTGTGCCCGCGCGCGCATTCTGCGACGCGCGAAAGCAACCGACTTACTTCATCGGGCCAACATGGGGGATTTCAGTTTTGTCTGTATCCCCACACTCAACTTTCCAAAAATCCTTGGCACACCCCATCTTGCTGTTTTTTTGGGCCTTCTTTCCGCACTCTTAGCACTCCGAACGGAAGACAGCACAGGGTGTGAGGTTGCGCGTCACATCCATCCCAATCTCCCGTAATTGGCCCAACCTTCCCAACTTAGGACCCCTCATTGCAATCGCGCAGAAAGTCGCGCGCTATAGAAAGTGGTTCGTCACAGTACGTTGCGGTAGCAATTCGTGCGGTGGTTATATGGTGGATTTGGAAAGAGAGGAACTCAATGTTTTTTGAAAAAAGATATCTTTCTGATGTAGCCCTGAGAACTTGGATGAAAGCCATGGTTAGACATATGATAACAGTCGACTGGAGAAAGAAGGTCCTGTCTCACCCAGATCCCGAACGCTCCAAGGCAAGGTTGTGGCTCCTGCGATCTTGGGCCAAGAAGAACAGGCTAGCAGCGGTGTCTGCGTGGACTGGGAAACTTATGTTGTCTCCCTGGATCAAGTCAGGCTAGAATAGTAGTAAGGAAAAATCAGGGATGGTTTAGAGAGCAACAACTGATGGATGGAGAGGCTTGTGAGAGGTGTTATTGATAGAGATAGAATGGCTGGGAGTGGGAAGATGGGGATGGTAGTACCTTCATTTGGATTAGAGGGACTTAGCCTCCAAGGCTGATCCAACCTGGGCACTTGGTGGTTCAAAATGCCTTGATAGCGGGAGCTATAGGTTCATTGACTTACCGTGAGGGCACGGGTGCGCAGCCCGTAGTTCGTTTGTTTATGTGGTTCAGGAAGGGTGAGGTAGTGAATATGTTGTATGTATGTTTTGTCATGTTCGCTATTCACAACTCGAAGAGAGTGTGTGTGGGGGGTCCTGGTTGATGCCTTATTCACGATGTTCATGAGACGCTGGACCCAGTTTCCAGCAGGTGGCGCTCCCCATCAATAGACAGGAGAATGTATGTGCATGTGTATGTG